ATAGAAAATACAGAAATAACATATGGAAATATTAAAAAGAAAAGATAAGATAAAAATAAGAATAATAAATAATATAAGAACAAATAATAGAATAGAACAAAATAAAGAAATCAATAGAATAATAACAGAAGAAAAAGAAGAGAAAGGAATAATAATAAATAATAAAATAAAACAAGAAAACAAAATAAACACAAAAGATGGAGATATAAAGAAATCAACGAAGAAACAAATATTAAAACAATAATAGAAATGATAGAGAAAGAAGAAGAATATTCAGAATATTCAACAGAAAGATAAATGATAATAAATATCAAAAGAATAATATACAACAATAAAATCAATAAAAGAATAATTGGAAAAAGAAGAATAGGATATAATTCAATAATGATAACACCAAAATATTTTAATGAAATTAAAGATTTTATTAATTTAGAAAATGGAATTAAAAGATTTCAAAGAAATATGGAACGATTTCATTTTAATCCAATTCCATTAAATGAATATTCAAGAAAATTATTTACTAATATTGAAACATTTCATATTTATAATAAAGATGATGAAATATTTAATGATGGAAAATTATTTAAAGAAATAATATGGTATAAAGTAGATTATTCAACATATTTAAAAGAGAAAGAAGCAGGAAATATATATAAAAATATAGAATATACAAAATATGATAGTTATAAATATGGAAATACAATACCAACAGAAGTTAAATTACTTGGATATGGATATTTTAATAATTAATATGAACTAACTAATATAAAGATACCAAATACAATTAGTAAATTAGGAAATAAGTGTTTTAAAGTATTTAAGTTATTAACATCAATTAACATTTTGTCAAAAGTTAATGAATTAGGAAATAATTGCTTTGAACATTTCATCATTAACATCAATTAATATTCAATCATCAATAAATAAAATCTGAAGTAATTGTTTTAATAAATGTACATCATTAACTAGTATGAATATAGAAGATTTACAATTTATTAGTAAAGAAAGAATATTTATAAATGATCCAATATTGATTAGTATTGAAATACCATATAATCTAGAAATAATCAATGGAAAGAATATTGAAAAGAAATATATTAATAATTTTGTTATTCCATCATCAATTACCAAATTATGTGATTATTGTTACAAAAGATGTTCATCATTATCATTCTTAATATTCAATATCTATAATAAAATATGAGATTGTTGTTTTTATGAATGTACATCATTAAAATCATTTATTATTCAATCATCAATTACATCATTTGCAAATCTTGTTTCTATAAATGTTGTTGTGAGGAAGAATTAAAAATAAATATGAGATTTCAAAGTTTTTGTTTTGATAAAAACTATATTATAAAAGAACAAAATTAGAAGAAATGAATAACAAACAAAAGAAATGCTTATTACAATAAAATTAATTCAATTATTTTTAATACATTTATTTTCTATTTATTGTTTGTATGTTATTGAATTTCTTGTATAATTTATTCTATTTCTTCTTAATTTAATCTTGTTTATTTATTATGTATATTATTTCTATTCATTTATATTGTTTAATTCTTTCTTATTGTGATTAATTCTTTATTTTAATATTCTTAATACTAATTAAAGTTATGTTAATTTATATTCATTAAATGTATCTTGTTTAATGTATTATATCAATATTTCATTATATTCATTTCATTTTGATATGAATTGTATAAAATAATAAATGAATGTTAATT